GTTCTTTCAAGGTCTATGAAGAATTGTGTTGGAATTCTGATGAGGATTTAGAGCAGAATTTTCTTAGACCTGCTTGCAATATAAATAATGACACAGAGGTGTTTTAATATTTTTATGCTTAGGCCTTTTGCTGGGCAATTTCTTGAGTACTCTAACCTGACTAATCCTGGAACTGTGTTCTACCATGTGGCCAGTTCTACCTCTCTGTTCTGCTCTGGTTCCTCTGTTTATGTCTGAGCCTTATTCTTCTCCCAGTGTTCCTTTCTCTGCCTGGAAGTTCTGCCTACCACTTCTTGCCCAGCTATTGGCTATCAGATCTTTACTATAGCCAATCAGATACAATTCTAGATTGCCTTAGGAAGATGAATAAGAGTGAATATTTACAAAATATCAGCCTGGTGGTGGGCTATAGAACTAACAATATCAAGATCCTGCTAGTATTTAGCTCTCTGCTGGTATAGAATTAACAGCTGAATATACAGAGACATACCTTCACACAATGTACCCCAACAGGGATTGCACTAAATTTGTAGATTGCTTTTTGTAATATGGCCATTTTTACTATGGTAATCATACCAATCCATGAGCATGGGGAATCTTTCCATCTTTTGATATTGATATCTTCTTCAATTTCTTTTTTTTAAAGACTTGAAGTTCTTGTAATAAAGGTCTTTCACAGACTGGAGAGATGGCTCAGCAGTTAAGAACACTGACTGCTCTTCCAGAGGTCCTGAATTCAATTTCCAGCAACCACATGACGGCTTACAACCATCTGTAACGGGATCTGATGCCTTCTTCTGTTGCATCTGAAGACAGTGACAGTGTACTCACATAAAATAAATAAATAAATCTTGGGGAAAAAAAGAAACTGTTTTTTTAAAGGTCTTTCACTTGCTTGGTTAGAATAACTCAAAATATTTATTATTATTTCCTCTTTTCCCTCTTTTAACATAATATTTTTATTGATTGGGAATTTTACATCATGCACCCCAATCACACTAATTTCTTCCATGTCTAGTCCCACCTTATGACCTCCCCCCCAAGAAAAACAAAGCAATGACAAAACAAAGTCCACTTTGTGTTATCTGTACACTCAATGGAGCATGGTCAAACTCTCAGTGGACTAGCCCTTAAATAGAACTGAATCTTTGCCCTTGTGCACCCCTGGCAAAAGCCATCAATTGTGGAGAGCTAACTTCAACATCCTTATCAAAAAATTACTTTAATTTTATTTTTTATTTTCCAGTCGTTGCCCACCTCCCAGTCCCCCTTCCCACAGTTCCTCATCTCATTCCTCCTCCCTCTGTCTCTAAGAGGTTGCCTTCCTCTTCCCACCAGGCCTACCAAATTCCTGGAGCCTCAAGTCTCTCTAGAGTTAGGTGAGTCTTTGAGTCTTCTCCCACTGAGGCCAGACCACGCGGTCCTCTGCTATATATGTGTATGCTGCCTGGTTGGTGGCTCAGTTTCTGAGGAATCTCAGGGATTCAGGTTAGTTGAGACTGCTGGTCTTCTTATGGGGTTGCCCTCCTCCTCAGCTTCTTCAGCCTTTTACTAATTCAACCACAGGGGTTCCTGATTTCAGTCCAATGGTTGGGTGTAAGTATCTGTGTCTGTCTTAATCAGCTGCTTGTTGGGCCTCTCAGAGGACAGCCATGCTAAGCTCCTATGTGTAAGCATACCAGAGTATACTTTTTAAGGGTTCTCTTCAGTGGCTTCCTGTTTAGGCTGCTTTTTTGGGGGGTATGGGGGTTGGGTTGTGGGTAGGGTGTTGGTTGTTACAAAGCCTTCCATGCCTCTTTTTCTGAACTACGCATTTGTGATTATTGGTATCACTGCAAAAGTAGCTTCCTTGCTCTTTACAGTCAGAGTGCAGATCATGGGCTTCTACACAGTTTCTGGTGACAACACAGACTACGAACACGGCCCCAGCTATAGCTGGCTCATACCCAGAAAAGGCCCTCGGAGGCAGCCCAACTATGGACATTACTGTGGCCTCGGGGCGGTGGAGGGGGGCAGCAAAGGCTGTTCATATCAATATGGCCTCACAGCAGCATGACCCATTGACATGAACACGGCTTCAGGGGGCAGCTTAGGCCAGGATTCTGTCAAAATTAGATTTTTCAGAATCTAATGAGATGATCATGTGATTTTTTTTCCCTTTCAGCTTGTCTCTATGGATTACACTGACAGATTTTTATATGCTGAACCACCCCTACATCTCTGGGATGAAGCCTATGTGAGCATGATGTTTGTTTTTGATATGTTCTTGGCTTTGATTTGCAAATATTTTATTGAATGTTTTTTACCAAAGTTGAAGGAAATTGGTCTGTAATATTCTTTCCTTGTTGAGTCTTTGTATAGTTTGGTGACTGTGGCCACATAATATGAATTTGGTAATGTTCCTTCTGTTTCTAGTCTGTAGAATAATTTGAGGAGTAATGGTGTTATCTCTTTTTTTGAAACTGATAGAATTCTGTACTAAAACCATTTGTCCCTGTTTTTTTTTTTTTTCTTTTGGGTTGGGAAAATTTTAATGACTGCTTCTTACCTCCTTAGCAGTTATAGGTCTATTTAAATCGTTTGTCTAATCATGATTTGTTTGACCAGTGGTATCTATCAAGGAAATTGCACATTTCTTTTAGATTTTCCAATTTTGTGGAGTACAGATTTTTGAAGTATGATCCAATAATTCTTTGGATTCCCTTGGTGTCTGTGGTTATGTCCCCCTTTCATTTTTGATTTTGTTAATTTGAATATTCTTTCTCTGCCTTTTAGTTTGTTTGGATAAAGATTTTTCTATCTTGTTAATATTCTCAAAGAACTAGCTTTTTGTTTCATTGATTCCTTGTATGGTTCTCTTTGTTTCTATTCTATTGATTTCAGTCCTGAGTTTGATTATTTTCTGCCATATTCTTCTTGGATGTGTTTACTTCTTTTTTGTTCTAGGGATTTCAGGTGTGATGTTACGTTACTAGTACAAGATCTTTCTAATTTTTTTATGAAGGCACTTAGTGCTATGAACTTTCCTCTTAGCAATGCTATCGCTGTGTCTCATAAGTCTGGGTATGCTATGCCTTCATTTTCTTAAGGTTATGTAAATTTTCTTCTATAATTTTGTAAAAATATTTTTTTTGTCCTTGAGCTGGGAATCTTTCTCTTTCTCCTCCTCCTCCTCTGCCCCTCTTGTCCCCCTCCTCCTTCCCCTCCTCCTCCCCATCCTCCTCCTTTTTCTCCTCCTCCTTCTCCTCTTCTGTCTCCTTTTCCTTCTTCTCCCATTATTCTTAGGTTTGGTTTTTTTCATGACCCATGTTTCCTGGATGTTTTTGGTCAGGAACCTTTTAGATTTAACATTTTCTTTGACAGATGTATCAGTTTCTTCTATCATATCTTTCATGCTTGAGATTCTCTCTTTTATCTCTTGTATTCTGTTAATGCTGCTGCATCTGTAGTTCCTGTTTGCTTATATAGATTTTCCATCTTCAGGTTTCTCAGTTTGTGTTTTCTGTATTGCCTTTATTTCCATTTTCAGATCTTGAACAGTTTTATTCATTTCCTTCACCTGTTTGTTTATATTCTTGGCTTTCTTGGCATTATTTTAAGGGTTTTATTCCTTTCCTCCCATTGTTTGTTAGTGTTTTCCCGGATTTCTTTAAGGGATTTATTCATTTCCTTTTTAAAAACTTCAATCATCTCCATAAAATTGGTTTTAGGTTATTCTCTTGTGCTTCAGTTGTGTTGGAATATCCAGGGCTTGCTGTAGTAGGATAGCTGGGTTCTGGTAGTCCCATATATTGCCTTGGTTGTTGTGTTCTTATGCTATCCTCTAGGGATCTGGGTTAGGGTAATTATAGATTTAGGTGCCAATTTCCGAGTTTATCTTTATTAGATGGATGTTTTTTCTCTTGGTTTCTGTTTCCTTTATGGTCTTCTTGCCTGAGACACCAGTGGTTCTGGTGACTGGCAAGTCTTCAGGTCCAGGATGGTGTCTCCACTGGGGTTTTGATGGCTTGCATGATCTCTGGGATTTTGGGTGCAAGCATTGCATCGGGGTTCTCAGGTTTTGAGAAGTAGTGTGGCCTATCGTGTTCCAGGTACTGGCATAGTCTCTGGTAGACTAGAGGTTTTCTGGGATTCTGGGTGCTAGTGTGATCTCTGGGGTTTTGGATACCAGTATGGCCTCTGGGGTTCCAGGTACCCATATGGATTATGGGGTTCTGGGTACTGTCATGGTCTTCCACAGAGCAGTGGACTTCTTCTGGAGTTATGGACTGGATGGAGACCAGGGGAGGGAATATTAGGAAAACTGGATGGGCTCTAAGTAGTGTTGTTGGGCTATGTGTGGGGTCCTACCTGGGATTCCAAGTACAAGCATGGTCTCCAGTAGAGCAGTAGGCTTCTGCTGGAGTTGTAGTACAGAGGATATAGAGATGGGGAGGGGATGTTATTGGGAAAACAGCTCCACTACTGATCTTTCGATATTGTTGATCCATTCCTTCTTGTTGAAAACTGAACCCCCAACTTATATGTTGCTTTCTTATACGTGCATCTGAAATCATGTCAACAGACTTTACAAAGTCTATCTTCCAGGCTGAATATTTATATGTTCCTAAAAGTCATATATTAAAACTCAGCTTATCAAACTCAATGGTGTCATTGAACAAAGATACAAGCAATTTTAGAGGTTGACCCTCTCTAGAGTCTCCCAAATTCTATGTTTCCTCATTATAGCCAGAAACCCCCACTGCCCTTTTACAGCCTACTCAAATGCTGCCACTTCAGCTGCCTCATGCTTTGCCTTTATCATTTCTTGTTGCATTACTGACAGAATCAATCATATTCATCTTTGTGTTTCTTCTGTGTTTTCTTCCTCTGCATTCTATCCTGGATTATCAAAAACAAGGTTTTCCTTCCTCCCTCTCTTCCTGAGGCCAGCACTTTGCTTATCCATAAGGTCAAGAACTATGTCATGTTCATATCTGCCATAAATAGAGCCTTGGGCATTTCTGATGCTCAATATGTATTTATTCAGTGACTGAACGACTGACAGAGGAAAGTTTGGATGATGAAATAGCTATTTCTCTATCCCCAGAACTCCTGTAGGCAGGGATTACATGAATGTCTATATACCAAAGCTGGTGTAGAGATGCCTAACACCACACAGATGCATGTGTCCTGATAGGGCACCTTTGTTTAAATCCATTTCAATCTCCCATCTTGTTTTAATAGAAATTTTCCAGAGTGAGTTGAAGCAAGAGTCCACAATTTAGGCCATAAGAAAGACATTTTCCCATGTTTGTCAGGAAAGGAAGAACCTGGCTTACAGGAGTCTAGGTAGGAGAGGCTGTCACTTGGTCTCAGTGAAGGATTCTTCTAGAATCTTCAGTTTCATTTATCTGGAGTCTTGAACTACATCAGAATAACTTGGTATTGGGTTCGGTCGTTCTGGGAAGACTACTGGGTTTGTTGTATAGACATTTGGAATGACCACACCTGCCTGAAAAACAAAAGCAGACAGCAGGTACACACTACACTAAGGATAGAGTAGTTCTCTAGAGGTTGGTCTAGAGCATGGTGCTGGTGAGGTGATGAAACCTTTAGGAAGTGAGGTCTAGTGGATGGCAATCAGGCTGTGTGCACCACTTTCATGAATGGATTTATGCTTGACTCAGGGAGAGGGTTAGTTTTCACAGGAGGATGTTGTAACAAAGCAAAGCCACCTCACATTCTTGAGTCTTTCTAAACCAGAAAACTCTTTTCTTTTTTCTTTTTCTTTTCTGTATTATAACTCAGAGGAGAAGTCCCCCAGGGTAATGATGTTTAGATACTCCAGCCACTGGAGCTGAGAGGCAAGTAAACCTTTTGATTTTATAAATTTCCCAGCCTAGTCATAACAACAGAAAGTAGACTAAGGTACCCCAGTAATAAAGAGTTATTAAAGACACACACTGAGACCCATCGATATTTTTCCACTTCCTCCTTTTTAGCTGAAATGAAATCCACAGAGAGACCCCGTTAGTTCCCCATCAACTTGGGGGATATTTCTACCCACAAAGATCTCAGGACTCACATTGTTGTTGTAGTGACAGCAGGCCACTTGGCAGCCAAAGTGGGAGGACACACTTGCAATGCAGAGCTCCAACAGGCAGAAGATGAGCAGTACACCAGAAATAGCCATGTATGTTCTCTGGAATCAGAAGAAATCTGGATGGCATCACTGCTGTGCTAGGAGTTTGATGGGACTCTGTAATGGACCACCTGTGTGGCCTTGGCATCATCTCCCTCCCTGAACCTTATGGGGCAAATGTTTTCCAGGTTTTTGTGAGGCTAAAGTGTGGGTGGAAAATGGTTATTTTATCAATCATTGCAATACGCTTTATGGGAAGGAGGTTCATAGTAAGGAAAATGGTTTCTTCAGGGGTAATTCCTTAGTGAAATGGGTTGTGTAGAGAATACACATGACCATGCACATCAAAGAGATCAGGCTGGATACTATGATGAAGAGAGTTTTGAGGAGATCAGTCTGACAGGGACTGGGGGCATGTGAAGGAGGGGAGGAGAGCTTGGTCTGGTGGGTGAGGCTGTGGTCCACAGGCAGGTTGAGAGAACATGTCCAAAGGTATTTAGCTCAGTGTCACTGTAGCTGATGAGTACAAGATTAGTGCTGAGGCCCAAACTGATGTGTGTTGTTTAGTGTAAAACCCACCTGGATGTCAAAGAATCCACTGTTCAGAATGAAAATGTTCCTGACCCTTATTATACCTGAACTAAATGTGGCTCTGCCCCTCATATCTCTCACATCTTCTTCTCCTTCTTTTTTTTTCAAGACAGGGTTTCTCTGTGTAGTTCTGGTTGTCCTGGAACTCACTCTGTAGACCAGGCTGGCCTTGAACTCAGAAATCCGCCTGCCTCTGCCTCCCAAGTGCTGGGATTAAAGGCGTGCGCCACCACCGCCAGGCTTCTCTCACATCTTCTAAGTCCCACATTAGCAAGAATCCTTTCTCCCTTGCTGGCAATGTACAACCCTTTTCCCTCCTTTTGTCACAGGCCTATGTGGTGGTTTACAGCCTCCTCCCTTCCTCCAAAACCTATAAGACCTCTATTTTGTCATGTGAGCCTGAACTATCCCCAAAGTCTACCATGCTAGCTGTCTGTCTATCTGTCTGTGGAGTAATCACTCTTCCTAGACTCCCTCATCCCCTGAGACCTGGAGCTGATCTTCACCATAGTGGCTAGAGTGAACCAAGAACCTGCTATAGAGCTTGTCTCTACAGTATTGGACCTCTCTCCCTTTCTCAGTCATCACTTCTTTTAATAGTGTATGCTAATTAAAAATTAAAATAAAAATTAGTTGAATTTTTCCATATGGCAAGAGGAAAATTTGAAATCCGGTATGCACCCCATCTTCTATTCCATGGTGCTGGTTGCTAGCCCAGGTCAGCAGGTGACAGCTGTTGGAGCTGTCTAGTCATGCTCATTCAGTTTCTGCTTTCTGTGGATGCTAAAGATCTGCTGTGTGTGTGTGTGTGTGTGTGTGTGTGTGTGTGTGTGACAGGGATTGTATACCCAGAGAAGCCTAAAAGCCCATTTGGCTATGCAGAAAAAGTTTGTTAGGGTCTGACAATCTTAGCCTCTCCCTGTGAGGGGCTGTTGCAGAGCCTGAACTTGTGTACATCTTGACATTTGCAAGAATATGAAGCCATTATGTTAGGAGAAATATGCAGGATTCAGGTAGATGAATGGTGCATGCTTTCTCTCATATGTGGAACCTAGATTTTAGTGTGTGTGTGTGAATGTTTTGTAGGTCACAATGCTAGAAGGGGAATCTTGAGAAGATGGAAAATGTCATAAAGGAGGTGGGGAGTGGAGAGATGTTTCTATGGTTGATATCACTGGCTGCTTTTGCTCAAGGCCTAGGTTCAGTTCCCAGCATCCACATGGTGGCTCATAGCTGTCTGTAACTCCAGTTCCAGGACACCCAAGGGTCTCTTCTGACCTCCATGGGAATCAGGCATACATGTGGTATACACAAATGTACATGTACATAAAACACTTATATACACAGAATAAAATAAATAAATTGTTAAAAATAAAAAAATTAGAAAGTAAGTAAAAGCTGGTACTAATTTGGGGGGGGGAAGAAAGGGAGGCAACTGGAGGTGAAGGGTGGACAGGAGGTGTAAAGGGAGCAACTGAGGCCAGAGGATGACAGGTATGAGTCATGATGAAACTTTGTATAGTAACCTAAAAATATAAACAAGAGAGCTTTTAAAGGAGGGAAAAAGTGGTCTTTGAATCCTGGTCTATACAGCTGGCAGGAAAGCTGAGGTGGTGGATGGCTGCTCATGAATTGGCAGCTGGTATTTCTGCATCATCATGTTTGATTTTTCTAGTGCTACAAGGTACCTAACTGTCTTACAAAGGCAGTAAAAGCTAAGGAAAGGATACGCCTGAGAACTTTAAACTGTCCTGGCCCCGAGAGGACTTCCTTTTATTCCAGTGTTCAGTGGAAAGGCTTAGTTGCCAGGCCCTTTCTGACATGGTCTGAACATAGCTAAATAAAGGCAGAGGCCTGTGTTTAAGGACACTCACCGCATTCCAGTACTCATGGGAAGGGTAGAAATAGCCTCCTGCGACACACATGTCTGTGATGAAGAGCATAATGCCCACTGCAGAACAGATGGCACTGAAGATGTTCAAGCCCACACTGCCACTCAGCTGGAGAAGACATACAGGGTCAGGGTGGGAGGGGAAGATGAGTAGAACTGATACCTGCAGGTTCAGCAAGCGTCCTCTCCCCATTTGTACCGTGTTAAAATAGATCGTGCGTAGTCTTTACCATTGTAACCATTTATGAAAGTCATAGCTCAGTGGTATGAAACACTTTATGCTTCATGTACAGAGAGGTATGTCGAGATATGTTAAACTTTCCTTTCTTGGAATTTTCTAATAGAGCTCATCTAAGTAGGAAACTTGATCACAAGGAGGCAGTTACTCTGGGCAACCTGCTCATCAAGAAAGCAGAGTCCATTTCTAGGGAAGCACGAAAAACTCTGTCCTTGTTGGTCTTCAGAGTTCAGATTCTGGATTTCTTAGAGAAGCACATACTGGGGCTGTTACCGGCCCCTGCAGGAATGGCTGGAACCCTGACTGTGCTATAAGCTATGGACATACTCACTCAGTTCCTTGTTCTGTGTAGTGTGTCCTGGGCTCTTTGGAGCTTTGTTTCTGCTCCTGTGAGGGCTTCTTATGCAAGTTAGTCAGTCCTCTCTGTCTTTTTCCCCATTCTGACAACTTGTCCCTTCCCTATATGAGATATGTGTGTGTGTGTGTGTGTGTGTGTGTGTATGACAAAGCATAGTTCAAGCGGTGCAAGAGTAAGAGGAGAATTGTTTGTCAATCCTTTTCTCCACTGTGACACTATAGGTCCCCAGCTGGGACAGACGATCTCAGCATGTGACTTACCAGGCAAGGTGAATTGGGCTGAGTTTCTGCCGCCACTGACAGAGATCCTGAAATGATAAACTTGTGCACAAGATTGGGAATTTACCAAGAGTTAGGCATCAGGTACCCTTTCTCAGGAATCTGGTTCTGAGAAGGCATCTACTCTCTCACACACAGAGAGACTTATGGAGACCCCAGATCCACAATGGTAGAGAATGTGTGTGCTGCTTTGCTAAGGGACAGGGCAAGGATGGGAGAATCAGAATTTTAGAATTCACCAGAGCAGGTTTTAAAGTTTGGTTTGAAACTTAAGTGATCTTTGGTGCGTTATTAGCTTGTCTAAGTCTTTATTTCCTAATATGAGAAAAGTGAACATCTATATCTTTTTAGGCATCATTGTTAAATGTATGCCTCACATTGACTGTCTTGTTCACAGTAGTGAATTGACGTTAGCCCATCTCCTGCTGTTTGCTTACAGATGTTCTCCATCTGTTGCTTTCCAGGTTTTTGTCTCGAGATTCACGAGGGGTAGGGCTCTGGAGGGGAGATGGAAGGAGTGTCGACTTCACTGTGGTGTTCAGATGAGAGCTCAGCATTGGTCCCTGCCTAATGCATGAATGAATAGGTTCTGTTCAATCGCTTAGATAATGAACACGGGTCTCTGATGCTGAGCATCATACGAGGGGAGAGCTGCCAATGCTGGTGCTCCATAAGCAATGTGGCTGAGGGATCCCTTGACCTTGTTTGCCCAGTGTGTGTGGTCTGAGAAAGCATCAGCTAAGATGCAGGGTTCTACTTGAGGTGCTTTAAGAAATGGCTTTGTTTCAGGGGAGGGAGGATTGCGTTCAGTTGCTAATCATTCATTGATTTAAAGCACACAATTCTAGTATTTTAAGCATATTTGAAGAGTTGTACAATCTAAGTTGAGAACATTTTCATTATCCCATCCCCAGTAGTAATCGTCCTCCTTCCACAAGTAGTATTTTTCTTAAACCTTGAGTAATAGTCCACCTAGTATTACTGTTATTTCCTTTATAAAGACAGAACAAAATCTGTGTGTATGTCATTTTCTTCAGCCATGCAGCCCCTAGTAAGATGCCGTGCTCCAGCAAGTACCTCCTCACCCATGTTTTTATAAGGAGCCATAACTAAACTCAATGGGGCAAAAGAAAAAGCACCATGAAAGTAGGAGATGAACTACTGGGAGAAAAGGGGATCAGGCGTAGTGGGAAGAGGAATAAAAGAGGGTAATGGAGGTAAATGTGATCGCAATATGTGTACAATTTTAAAAATGAGTAAAGTAAATTTAAAAATATGGGCAAGATGAGGCTTAAGGATTTTAAATACTTCACTCAAGATCACCAAGCAAGTAGCAAAGCTTGAGATCAAACCCAGGTAGCCTGGCTTCAGACTCAATGTCTTAGCCTTTACTCTGTCCTCCCGCTTGGGGCAGATGCATAGTTATCTATAATGTGAACTTATTTCAGTTGTTTCCCTTCCAAGGAAAATGTCCTTTTTTTTTTTTTTTCTGTCAGTGGAGAAATAAGTCTCAATTCCACAGATTTTTTTTCCCTTATAGTGATGTGTAGGAAGGAAGAGAGGGAAAAAAGTTGAATTTTTATGATTTTTTTTTTTTTGTTAGTCCCCTGGAAGTGCCAAAGAAGATGCTCCTTTGTTATGGAGGAGGGCATTAGTAATTGATGGGAAGTGGAAAGACAGAGGAGTTAAGAAAGTGACAAAGAACAACAGCAAACAAAAACAACAACAAAACACTGGAAGACAAAGGGAAGAAGGTTGTGAGCTGAAGGCCCCCAGGGCACCTGGGCACTTCTTGGTTCTAGCAGACACTCAGGGAAATCCAAGGTGACACAGTAAACGAGTGAGTAGCAGTAACATTATGAGATGTTTCAACACAGGTCTAACCTGTAGAGACTGGGGGGATGGGAGGGGGCGGAGCTCCAAGTCTGGGTCGGTTCAGAGTCTAAGGAAATTGCAGCCTGGGAGGATGGGTCATGGGTCAGAACAAATTCTCTGAAGGATACATCCTTATGGTTCTGTAGGCTGGCAAGGTTGTGGAATCACAGAGTGCCAGCTCACTTTATTATTACTATATGGGAAAGGCTGGCATTGTTTGACTTCTTAGGTCACTCTGGAGTTTGGATACTTATGGGAAACCTTGTGTTTGAGTCACAGGGAGGTGAGGGAAAAAAAAGGAAGTCAGAGAGTGGCAGAGCAGGGTGTCTGTGTGTGTGTGTGTGTGTGTGTGTGTGTGTGTGTGTGTAGGTACCAGGAAAAGAATGAGAGAGTCCAAAGGCAATAAACCAGCATGGAGGAAGAACTGTAGGATTTTTGTGGAGTCACAGATCACCTTGAGAATGTAATGAAAGCCATGGACCTTTTCAGAAAAATAATGCATAACTACCATGCTAGATATTTCACCAAAATGGCCCCTGGGTCTATCTATGGATAGTGAGTTAAACATTTTCACTGTTGGGCCACAGGCTCTATTGACTATTGAGGAAAAAATGTTTTTGGAGCTCAGTCTTCTATGTTTCTGTTGTACAATGCCTGAAAGCTTAGCTTCAGTACTGTTCTCTCTCGCTCTCTCTCGCTCTCTTGCTGTCTCGCTCTCTCACTCTCTCCCTCCTTCCCTTCCTCTCTTCCTTCCTTCCTTCCTTCCTTCCTTCCTTCCTTCCTTCCTTCCTTCCTTCCTTCCTTTCTTTCTTTCTTTCTTTCTTTCTTTCTTTCTTTCTTTCTTTCTTTCTTTTTCAGTTTTTTTAAGTTAGGGTTTCTTTTTGTTGCCATCATTGTCCTGGAACTGGCTCTGGAGACCGGGCTGGCCTCAAACTCACGGAGATCTGCCTGTCTCTGCCTCCGGTGGGCTATGATTAAACACAAGCCACCACTGCCCAGCTGTTATAGTTTTCTTTGTAAGTGAAATGTTTCTGGGTTGATGTTCTAGAAGAAATAACTTGGTCTTTGATGATTTTAGCCTTGTAGGGCTATAGCTTGATTTGTGATTACCAGTTTCAGATTTTCAAAGACCTAACCCCAGAACCTCAGAATGTGACTGTAGACAGGGTTTTATTATGTAGTCCTGGCTAGCCTAGAGACCACTATATAGAACAGACTGGCCTTGAACTTATAGAGGTCCTCCTGCTTCTGCCTCCAGGGTGCTGAAACTAAAGGTAAGTTCTATTATGCCTAATCATTAGCATTCTTATAAGTGGAGGTTAGCAAAAAACATGACTTGGCTAGAAATTATGTTAAATGAAGTAACCCAAAATCTAAAAGATGAACACCACATGATTTATCTCATAGGCAGATTTTGGTGTGTGTGTGTGTATGTGATGAAAAGAGATCATAAGGTTGATGGCAAATGATAGTGGCAGAACACTCAAGACATGAAGACATGAAAGCAGAAGGGGGCATGATGAATTGTCCACCTGTCATTACCTGGACCATGTGGGAAGACAGTCTCAATGAGGGGTTATCTATGTTTGTTTGGACATGTCTGGGGGAGGATTATCTTAACTAAGTTAATTGATATGGGTAGCAAAAAGTCACTGTTGGCAGCACCATTCCTTATGCAGGGGTTCCTGACTGTGTAAGAGTGGAGAAATTGAGTTGAGCACAAGCAAGCAGGTAAAGTGAACACTCGTTTCTCTTTGCTCTCAACTATGGCTATGATGTGACTAGCCATTTCAAGTTCCCACCACCTTGACTTCTCTGCAATAAAGGGCTGTAGACTGGAATTGTAAACTAAAACAAATCCCTTCCCTCCCCCCCACTTTGTTTGTTTTGTTAGAGCATTTTATTCCAGCAATAGAGATAAAACTAAAATAGTGAGGTACTAAGGGAAGGAAGGGGTCAAATGGGAGGGAAGCCAGGGAACAAGGGATAGGAGTGCTAGAGAGAAGGCAAATAAGAACTAGAAAGACTGAAAGTGCAGTTATATTACTTTGTATGCTAATTTAAAACAACAATAACAACAACAACAACAACAATGATATTGAGACACAAAGTAGGCACAAATACAAAGGGAAGACATCACAGGAAGATGGCTATTTGTGACGTAAGAGAGACTTCAGTGGTAACTATCAGCTGCCCTGCTGGTCTTGGACTTCTGGCCTTCAGAACTGGGAGATAGCTCATTTCCACAGCTGGGAGATGTCCAGCCTGTGGCACTTTTTTTATAGTCCATCCCAACCCCTTCTCCAGCTAAGCCAATTGGGCAAGCACCTCCAGATTCCCAAATAGCTTAGCAAAGCTGCCCTGAGCATCAGACTGGAGCTACTCACCCAGATGCCTCCCCAGAAGGGGAAACCTCCATAGAGGGAGATAGGTACATAGTGGCTGAAGATGTTGGTGATCATGATGGAGCCCAGGCCAATGTGCACCAGGCCAATCAGGATTTGGATGGCCTGTCAGGAAAGCCAAAAGCTGAGATCTTTGCCTCTGGGCCCTGATTTTGCCTTTGCTTTGTAATTCCTTTATATTCTAATACCCATTTGGTTTTGGGTTCCCTGTCTAAAAGATAATGTGAGAAACATAATAATAAAATTAAAACTATCTATAGTCAACCTCCCCCCCCCACCACACAGAAAGCAAGCATTTCCATTTTGGCATAACATTCTATTCTTCTTCAAACATGTATCTTGGTAACATAGAAGTGGTGTCTCTACACTTTAACATGTTCTTGGGTCATTAAATTGTGTGTGTGTGTGTGTGTGTGTGTGTGTGTGAAAGAGAGAGAGAGAGAGAGAGAGAGAGAGAGAGAGAGAGAGAGAGAGAGA